GGTGGGGGGGGGGAGGGGTAAGACGAACCACACACGATTGAAGCTGCTGCCGGGGCAAGAGAGTAACAAACGTAGAACAGACCGAAAGGCGCCCGTGGCGACCGTGACCTCGGGATGACGAAGTGAAGATGATGTCGGAAAAACTACCTACCTAAGGCGCCAGAACTAAAAAAGCGGAATAGTATTGCCAATCCGTAAAGAAGTGGGAGGGGTGCGTGACCCGGGTGGAGCCCCTCCAGTAGCCGCCTCAGGTCGCCCGGGGGGGGGCGGGAAGACCGGTTCCGGCGGCTGCTGGGTGCGGGAGCTTGCACATCGACCGCAACCACGTAAGACATACATACAGATTTCGCAAGGAGCCCGTACTCGTACATACGGGTGAGGGCCGCGACATGCAGCATGCAATAGCATACAATATGGGAATGGGGGCCTGATGGCCGCAAAGGCACCAGCGCCGTCATCACGACCTCGAACACCGCAGCTACTGCTGTCTATGTGCCGTACTTCTCTACACACGGACACGGGAGAGAAAGGGGAAGAGGTTGCAGCAGACTGAAGGAAGGCTCGGGGGGGAGGGGAGGGGAGGGGAGGTAACAGTAATGCCTAAACAAGCCCCTCATGGCCCTTTCCCCCTCCCCACACAACACCACACAACACCACGCCCGTGTTTCAGACACCGGTGTAGAAAACCCTGAAACCCTAAAATTGTGGCTTTTATCCCGGGGGAAAACTCGAAACCGTTACGGATGTTGTGCTTATGTTTGTATGTCTGTCAGGCCTAAGCGTCCCGGCGAGGTGGAGGGCCGGGACTACTTCTTTGTGAGCCGGGACAAGTTCGAGCAGTGGATAGCGGAGGACATGTTGTTGGAGCATGCGCTGGTGTACGGCGAGTACAAGGGCATTCCCCGCCAGCAGGTACGTACGTGCGTACGTACGTGCGTATGCGTGTATATGGGTAGGTGGGTACGTTGAAATGTTCGTGTGGCGTCGGTGTGTGTTTTGGGGGTGTCGACATCCGGGGGGGGGCCCCGCTCCCGGTCACTCCTTCCGCACCACCACCATCACAATCACCATACCGCCCTTTTTCTCCTCCTCCCCCCCACACACGGTCATTGTCCGTTTTCTCAACATCTCCAGGCGCCCTGAGTGGTACTTGGCTGTTCGGACACCAATGTTTGACTGGGGTTTCACTGCTCGCATACACTCTTCCACTGTCCCCCCCCCCCGGNTTCCCCTTACATACCCCCCCCCGGCACCTTCTTCCCCCACCCCCGGGGGGGGTGCATTCGGATCGGCGGCATATTCCCTTTGCCTCCCTCGCCCTGCCCCTTCCCCTCTCGACGCTTTTGGACGCATGCAGCTTAGCTCAGTGAATGATTTGGTGGCTCCCTCCCCTCGGGCCCCCCTCCCGTCCCTCCTGCCGCGCGCTAGGTGGATGCCGCCGTGGCCGCGGGCACCGATGTGGTGTTGCGTATCGACGTGCAGGGCGCCGCCACGGTGAAGCGCCTCATGCCGGACTGCGTGTCGATATTCGTGACGGCTGACAGCGAGGACGTGTTGGTGCGGCGGCTGGTGGCCAGGAAAACGGAGCCGCTGGTGAGGGCGGGGGAGGGGTGGAGGGGGACGTGGCACGTGGGGGGTTTGTAGGGTTCAGGAGGTTGGGAGGGGGAAGAGCCGACATGGGGGTCTCGCTGGAAATGGATGGGAAGGGGTGTGTGTATGTATGTGGGGGGGGGGTGAAGGGGGGCTGAGAGGTGTGTTGAAAACCCGGGGGCGGGGAGGGAGGGAAGGGAAAGAATGAAGGGGGGTTGGGACAACATGCGCGAGACGGAGACGTTGTATTGGGTTTTGTGGTCGTACAGATCTATGTGTATGCGGTGGGATGGGGTGGGGCGACGAGGTGCTGTCCTTCCTTGGGTTCCGCTGGTTCCTCTGTTAAGTCTGCCGCGATGGACAGGCCCTCCCTCACCCCCTTTTCCGACCGGTCCCCTCTCACCCCACCCCATCCCACCCCCGTCTTTACAACCACCTCTCACACCTCCGCCTCCCAACCCCAGACCCTCTCTACCCCCCTTCTTGTGCCCCGTACCCCCCAACCCCCGCCGTAACTCCTTTGTCTTTTGGCGGTGATTTCCCCCCTGCCTCTTCTCCCCCTTCTCCCCCGCTGCCTACACGGCACGTAATGGGCCCCACCCCCCCGCCCTCGCTCAGGACAAGCTGGTGGTCCGAGTGAAGACCGCCCGACAGGAGAACGAACACATCGCTAACTTTGATTACGGTGGGTGGCGGTTGAGGTGGTGGAGGAGGTGGTAGTGGTGGTGGAGGAGGTGGTAGTGGTGGTGGAGGAGGTGGTAGTGGTGGTGGAGGAGGTGGTAGTGGTGGTAGAGGAGGCGGTGGAATGGGTTGCTGGGTTGGGATGGACGGCGACGGCAGGGGGATGGTTTGACTGGGGGGTTGAGCGAATGAGGGATTGGAGTTGAGTGCTCTTCTGGGGATGTGGAGGTGGGTTGCATGTATGCGTACAGCAAGGCGGACACCAAAGCGCACCGTTTGCTTTAGCGCCGATTGAGCAACGATTGCTTCCCGTCGTCTTGTCTGCTTCCTTCCTTTCCTTTCCTATCTCACATTCCTTAACTAATTGTTTGAGAAAGCGCGAGAAAGTTTTCCTTGGACATTGCTTTATCTTCCATTAATGTCGGCTTGAAATTCTTTTTGATGTTTTTATTCCTTTTTTTACTCATCCCCGGCTGCTGCTACTGCCCTCTCATCTGTGGTTTGGCAGTTGTCGTCAATCGCGACGGCGAGCTGGATGACTGTGTACGGCAAGTGTCGTCCATTATCGAGGCGGAGAAGGCCAAGGTCAGCCGCCGGCTGCACTGACGAAAACGCGGAGGAGGAGGAAGGAGAGGGAAAGGACGTGAAAATCTCTTTCCGTTTTCGTTCTCGCCTTTCGCCTTGGAAACAAGAAGCTGGAGGAAAAGCTCCTTACTTGCGCAGCGCTCGCCTTACGCGGTACACTTGCCGTACACATTCGTACACCAACGCAGACGCAACACAAAGAGGCAAGGCTGACAGCACGGCCACGGCTCGCGTGTGTATCTATCTATATGTCCATCTGTCTCTTTCTCCTGTGTGTGCGGCGGGGGGGAACAAGTAGTTGATGGCGGCGGGTTGGTTTCTTGGCGGTTTGAGGAGAAGGGCTCTGGATTCTACTGCCTCCCAAGCTACACTCCTCTGGCAGACCGACTCGCCGTTGTCATATCCATCCGTCATCAAGTTCACCACCAAAAGCCCGTCACCAGTCACAAGAGTCACAATGGGCAGTACCCCCACCCGCCTTCTACCCCCCGCAACCCACCAGCCCTGCCTGCCTGTATGCAGCGCCCCAGCCGACCGCCACAAACTTCCGCAACCAATCAACCAACCAACCAACCACAGACAACCGCCTGAACCCAAGACCCAAGTTTTGGTTCAGGTTGTTTTAACAGCGGCTAGGCTTAGGCTGGTGTTTGCACTGTTTTCGTGTGCTTGGCTGCTTCCTTAATGTCGGCTGCTTTGTGATTACTTGTAGCTACTGGTTACCATTAGATGTGCTGGTATTGATATGGTCTGCGGCGGGAGTTACCAGTTTGCAGACGTGATGACAGGCAGGCAGGCGGCCGGTTCTTTGGTAGCTGCGCCGTTTTTGCCGTCCTGAGTTTTGCGTCATATACAAAGGCGCGCTGCATAAGCTCGTGCGTGTACGCTGCATAAGCTCGTGGGAGTTTTATATTACCCCTGTTTATTATGTTTTCTATTAGGACGCAGCGCTGTGTTCTCCTCTCGCGAACCCTGGACATTAAGCAGGGATAGCAGGGGTATGTTCCTAACCGTACCTCGATGCGCTGCGCTTAATAGCTCGCGAAGCCTTGTAAAATTACTAGTGCTTTCGCCAGATTCTTCGGACGAAATTAAACGAGATTTACGACGGCTGGCTCCTGTGTTACGGATGCTGCTTCTGACGCAGCAGCTCTACCCTGACATATGCCCCGTCGAAAATTGCATATCATAACAGAACCTGATCGACTAGCCGTGTGGAAATTGGCTAGCGCCGAGGGCTCCGGTTTAGCTGTGCCTTCGCTGTGTATGAGTGACAAAGCTCAGTCGAGCAGCCTTTCCGTTGCACCTGGGCGAAGCAGGTATGGCGTCGTGTACATCAAACGTTACGATACTTGGAAGAGCCACCAGAAGCTTCGATGGACAGGTGCATATTCGTGTTCCATTATAGGGGTTGGAGCTCCGAAACCGTAAATCGAATTTGCGCGGCAGCTCCGGCACCTGCACTCCCAAGTATCTGTGACCTAAACAACCTACGCTTTTCACCACCATGTAGGAACCTAGGTTCTTCCTTGTATTGACCGTGCACGCAGCTTAGCAGAAGCCACAAAGCCTCCATGTCGGCCAGCAGCCGCGAATCGACCGGTCTCAAGGTTGTTTCGCGCGTTGTGACCGCTCCCGACGTTCGCTGCGTCGTTGCCCGGCCGCATCCTCAGCCGCAGCTGCAACATGGAAACAGCTATCATAATCATTACCATGCTCAGCAACAGCAGCAACAGCAATACCAAATATTGGTTGTCTGCAACGGAGGAATTTGCCCGCTGCTTGCCGCTTGCGATTCCGTCGACGCATCTTCCAGCCCTAAACTGGGCAGTCCTCTTACAGTCACAGGCGCCATGACCTCTCATATCAGCCGCGTCCTTGATGCAACGTTTGAGCCTCGAAGCGGTATGGTCGTTCTAGCTGCCCCGAAGGCGCTTATCTCCTTGGACGCGCGCAACGAGGCGTCGCGTCTTTCAGGCCAACTCAAAGGCTGGTTCGCGAACAGCTGCGACGGCGTCGGCGACGCGGCACGCTACACATCACTGCAACGCATCGTGGCCAGCGCGCCAGGCTATCTTCACATCATGGACGATCAAGGACAGGGCAAGACGTATCTACGGCAGGTCCACCTCCTGGGCGGCTCCTGCGCCGTCAGTACTTTGATGCCTGGCGACGGCGTCTTCACGTACGACCGTTCCACAGGATCGGTACTGTACGTCACGGACTATCGTACAATCAACCGCGTCACGGCGCAGGGCTTGTTGGAGCCGGTAGTGGGGCACGAGGGTTGCAGCTACGACGGCGGCGTCGTAGCCTGCCGTGCATCGCATCGAGTTGACGGCCCCATCGGACTGGCGCGCTTTGTGTCCGTCATCGACATCACCGCAGACGAGTACGGCAACGTATTCGTACTGGACGACGGCGCGTTACGCATGGTTAGGGCCGACGGCGGCGGCGTGTGTACGCTGCTGCCCGACGTCGTTGGCCGGGACTGCCAGGACGCCCGTTTGACCGCCCTCCCTGGAGGCCGCCTGGCGGTCTGGGGCTTTCATAGCCATCACATGCTACTGCTGACACTGCAGCTGCAGCCGGGGCGCTCGCAGTATTGGCCGCTGCTGCACCAGAACCAGCAGCAGCAGCAGCAGCAACTGCCGTCGCAGTCGCCGCACCGGCACCGGTTGTTTCCGCAATCGCCGGCGGCGATGGCGGCGGCGTCCCCGCCGTCGACGTCGCGCCGTTGCGCCGTCAGGTACAGCAGCAGCGGCACGGCGGGCAGCGCCGCAATGGAGCCGTTGCGCATCGCGGCAGAGTCCCCGCCGGACGTGGTTATCATCGCCGGCGACGGCGGCACCTCCTTCCCGGCCCACCGCGCCGTTCTGTCGGCGCGCTGCCTCTACTTCCGCAAGCTATTCTCCGCCAGCTTCGGCGGCGGCGGCGGCGGCGGCGCTGCCAGCAGCGGCAGCGACGACATCGTAGAGGTGCCGCTGCGTGGCACCGATCCCGACGCCCTGGCTGTCGTACTGCGCCACATCTATACAGGGTCCTTCGAGCACCTAACCGCAACGGCAGCGGCGGCGGCGGCGTCGACATCGGAGCCGCTGCGCGCCGTCGCGGCACTCGCTGACCGACTGCTACTGCCGCAACTGTGTGCGCACGCGCAGGAGCTGCTACTGCGTGACTTGGCGCCGGACACGGTGGTTTCGGAGATGCTTTGGGCGGAGCGCGCAGGGCTACAAACCCTGTTGGCGCAGCTCGAGCAGTACTTTGTCGTACATGCGGCGGAGGTGGCGCAGCAGGCGCCGCAGAGCGTTGATCGGTTATTGGAGGTCGGCAGTCGGGGGCTGCTGAAGCGGCTACTGGTCCTCAGGTGCGGTGGCGGCGGCGGCGACGTCGGCGGTGGCGGCGGTGGCCGTGGCGGTGGCGGTGGCGGTGGCGGCGGCGGTGGCGGCGGCACTGCTTTCCCCGCTCCCTCCAGGTCTCCAACCGTGCCGCATGTCACCCGTTCGCCTGTGCGCTCGCCAAATCCAGGGGGGGAACACTGAGAACCCCGGATAGGATGGCGAAGCAGCCAGGTGGTTGGGTGTGGAGGAGGAGAGAGAGGCGCCGCGAGGGCAGCGATGCAAGTGGATATGGGTGAGAGTCGAAATGGGTTACTGCAGGTTTGTGTGTATGTATGCACATACGTACCTCTTGTGCATGTGGTCCATGTGAGCCGATATGCAGAGGATCTGTCTGTCTGTTTGTCTGTCCGTCTGTATGGATCTGTATGGACCGGTACATTGCTTGGGTGGCACTAGCAAGCGGGATCTAATCTAATCCTCAACTACAACAAAGGCATAGCATGTTATTTATTTACATATTACTTGGAATATCTTACAGTATATACATATTTATGATTTGGGTTATACGAGTTTTTCGCTCCACGGGGGTGGAGAGGGGAATCCGGAACCAGGCTTGGCGTATAAAAACATGTGGGGGGGGTAACGATGTGGGTCCATGCACGTTCGCCTCGACTCTTGTACGGCGCACAATGAGAGAGCGCGAGAGAGGGGAACAGAGCAAGCTTGTCCTCACTTTTTTCCCCGATTTCCCCGATTTCCGCTGAACATTCTCATTAGTAGTAGTGTGTTGGTTGATGATGGCGGGTGGCTATGGTAGATGGTCCGCAGGTCCCCATGGCCCTGCGAGAGTGCGCAACATCTGTACGGTAGGTGGAGCTGCGGTCAATAAGTCGAGGTGTACGGCACCGTACAGGAGCGGTACGATTTATTAGGACAAGGCCGTATGGCCGCGCCACTCGCCAGCGAGTAGATTGCTTTGTAGACTTATAGCTGTGTAGCCGGAAAGCTGAATGTGTAGTGTAATGTACAAAATTGGACGGGAAAAGGAAAACAGCGGCTTGACAGTTAACACAAATTCAGTTTGCCGGACATTAGTTCGGATTTACACGAAACATTTACACGAAACATGGTGTGTTAGATTAATCACATACTTGGCATCCAATGTAATGAAAAGCTATTATAAGATATAGCCATACCCAACCCATGCCCACATACCAGTTATATTAAACTGATCGCCAGCTGCCAGAAGCTGTCCACGCAAGAGGGGGTCATGTCTAACCCCCCTTTTTAAAACAGGTCTGACTGCTCCGCAGAACCATTTCAAACGAGAGCCGTGTTGTATCGTTACTTCAGCATTGGGTGGGTTTAGAAAAAATTCTCAAGCAGCAGCGGAGATTTAAAAGAACTTTCGTCCATCGGAAATCATCCTTTCCCCTTACCAAACCGCATCCCGCGGCCCATGATGTTTTGGACCAACGGGCGGGTGCGTGCCTTGAAGGGGAAGGGGAAGGTCGAGGATAAGCTGCATTACATGTTATTACACCTGTTATGGCGAAATTTGCACAGCGCAGTAGGTGGCATCATCGTCCCCTCAGATGGGGGACGTGAATCCGTTTCCTTCCATACTCGCTGGCAAATCTGGAAAAGAATGTTCATGCTGTCGAAGGGATGCCGTCGAAGTCAGCCCGAAGAGCACCCTAAGGGAGGCAGACATCGCCATCAAGCGGGTTCGGCATCCGGGAAGTGGCCGGACAAAGGCCGCAGCGTTGTAAAATGTGGAGTTCCTGGTTTGTAGATGCCGGGCCTCCCGCCATCCCGGCTAACTGATCGGTCAACTGAACCACAAGGCCATTGTTATCCGGTCCTTCAGCATTGTAACGAGCACACTTAATGTATTAGTCCATTTCTGATCTGAATTTTTTTCCCGCAGGAGTAGGCGTTACAGTCCGTCGGCTCCATGCATACTGTCCTTGTGGGGGTTCAGGGTGGGCTTAGGGTATCATATCTATGGATAGTGTACCCCGGATGGTAAGCTCCTTGTAAGAGTCCAGTGTCATTTTACCCCAACCCTGCCGAACTTCAGGTGGGTTATTATAAGGCCCGGGACCCACCCCCCCTTCCCCACCCCCCCGTCCCCACCACACGGGGTCCCAACCAACCCCCCTAAAACACCGGCCTGCCTCCGTCCCTTTCCTCCCAATCCCTTTCCCCTTCACTTCATTTCCCGGTCAGCCACACCGGCCGATGCACAACCGCCTCCAACACCACCCCCAGTCGCTCTGCAGAACGTACGGCATTACCGTTGGCCGTTAATGTAACCGCCCGGCGGCCCTCACCCAGCCCAAACACCGCCACTTGATCGCGACCCAGCGACCCACTCAGCAAGGACACCGTACGGGGACACAAAACAGCCGCAGCAACAGGTGCAGTAGCTGCAGCTGTAGCAGTAGCAGCATTAGGAGACGAGAGAGGAAGGGGAAGGGGAGGGGAAGGCGTAGCAGTAGCTGTAGCACCAGCCGCCGCTGCTGCAGCTTCAAGCTCCGCTCCTACGTGTACGACAGTCAGCCTTGCCTGCAGCTCGGCCCATCGCCGTCGTTCCCGCGGACCTGCGAACATGTCCACCAGCACCTTCCAGCAGGCGGAGGGGAGGAGAGGGTTTAAATACACACACGCACACGGGGAGGGAGGGAGGGGGGGAGGTGTTACATGACAACAAAGCCGGGCGACGATCAGCCGTCTTCCACTCTCAATATCGCCACCATCGCCACCACTTTCATAGCCTGAGGATGGCACGTGCCCAACCACATCACACCACTCCGGCCCCTATCCCTCCAACCCCCCATTTCCCCCCAAAACACACACAAATACACACACACCAATCTCCTCGTTCGGGATGATTACGTTTGGACCATATTCACCGCCGCATCTTGTCAACAACTCGCCGGCTAATTTTCCCCCTTCTCCCGGGGTTTTCCCCCTCCTCAACCCTCCAATACACACACACACACACATATCCCTAACCCTCCACCACGGCCACCCCGCCACCCCCACCACCGCTACCTGGAATTGCCTACACGCCAGCTCAGCCGCCAGCAACTCCCTCCCTGGAGCCAGCCAGGGGGCCAGCTCCGTCATCAAGGGGGAGGACTTCTCGGCAGCTAGGCAGTCCTTGGGGCCGGGGTTGGAGGGGGGGAGGGGGGAAAGGTCGGGTGGCGGGGAGGGCGGGAGAGGAAGGGAGGGGCACGGGGCAAGTGGGCAAGTGGGCGGGGGAGGGCTATCGAGATATTTAAGGACAGGCATTAACGAGGTCTGGCACTGGCCGGTACGACAGAGCCTCGTACTGCAAGCCGTAACCTTCACCCGTACGGCCTCACAAGGGCCCTTCCGACGCCCCTGTGTTTTCCTCCCCCCCATCGCCACCTTGCCCGTCATCCCCACCCGCCAATGTACGGTACGTTGGGCCCACTGCTCCAGGGCGGGGTCAGTGACGCCGTCTGTGATGCCTGCTTGGTGGCTGACCTCCGAAACCAAACCACACATGGTGGTCACGTCTAGGTTGGTGGCAGTGGGGGGAGGGGGCGGGGGAGGGAGGCTGCGGAGCGAGTCTGTTGTGGAAGGGAGGGGGAGAGGGAAGGAAGGGAGACGGGGGCAAATTTATGAAAACCCATACCTGCAAATAAAAGGATACGCACGCATACGAAAGTATACATGTACGTATGTCCGTACATACCTAAAATTAATCTGTGTTCTCCTCAACGAGTGGCGGGTACATCTGTCTGTCTGTCTGTCTGTCTGCCCGGGTGGCAGCGGCATCACAAAGAGACGTTTAAGCTGGATATCGTAACTGTGTACGTACGTACGTACGTACGTACGTATGTCCTCCCTTCCCGAAATCCGCCAATCTGTGTCAGAAAGAAGCAGCCGTCGCTCCTCGTGCCGTACTCCAACAAACAACTGGAGCCCAATGAGACCAACTGCCACCTCCACACAAACCCAACACACACAAAGAAAAGAAACCACATCCCTCAAGCCAAGCCAAACCAAACCAAGCCGAGCCAAGCTGCCAACGACTTTTCCCCCCAAAACAAATGAACCTGAGACTCACCGGGCCCAACTGCCACGTAAGCCCCACGGGCCTCCAACTGCTGCCGTACATTGCGGTGCACCCCTGACGGGAAGAACAGGACCACCCGGGGGGCCCGCCACCTCCGGGCGTGTTGGGGGGCCGCCGCCACCGCCAGCAGCTCCTCCAACTGGCGACGGAGACCCTTCACGTGGCGGGCGGCACCTGACACCCGGAGTGTGTGTGTGTGTGTGTGTGTGTGTGGTGGGGGTTTCCGGGAAGGCACGGGACACGCGGGGAGTATAGAAAATCAGATTTTGGCAGTTGCAAGCCGTTGGGGATGTTGTTTAGTTGGTATTGTTTCATAAACTTGAAGGCAGTTTTTGTTTTAGGTTAAGCTAAACTGGGGCAACAAGACTTCGGCAATAGAAAAACAGCCAACCGCCCAACCGTCCAACCAACTGACCGAATAACTTCCATCCCAACCAACCGCTATTCCGTCCTCCTACCTGTCCAGTGCACGCTCTCCAGTCCAAACATCTCCTGGTTCTTAACCTCTATCCAGCAGTGCCCCTCCTGAGCGACGACGTCGACCTCAACGGTGAGGTTAACCGCCTTGGAGCCGCCGCCGCCGCCGCGGCTTTTGGGGGTGATGCCTTTGGCAGTGGCGGAGGCAGTGGCGGAGGCGGTGGCGGAGGCGGTGGCGGAGGCGGTGGCGGTGGCGGTGGCGGTGGCGGTGGCGGTGGCGGTGGCGGAGGCGGTGGCGGAGGCGGACTGTGCACGTCGGCTGTTGCTATTGCCGTCGCCACCACCCCCATCACCGGCGGCCATCACCTCCGTCTCCGCCGCTGCCGACGTCGCCGCGGCGGAGGGCCCTTCCGCCGCTAGCACCTCCTCCCTCCTTCCCTCGCCTCTGCCCCCTCCGCCCCCTGGACTCCCTCCTGCCACGTCCGCCAGGAGCCGCTTCTGACCCACTGCCGCCGCGACGGCGCACACGATGCCGTCGCTACGGTCGCCGCCCTGGGGACCGTCGGCCGGCCGTGTCGCCGCCGTCGACGACGGCGGCGCCGCCTCCGGCGGCAGTACAACACGCGCTTGGAAGCGCCGCAACACGCCCACCACCCCTGGAGCGGTCTGCGCCGCGAGGAGCTCCCCCTGCCGGCCCGGGGGTGGCGGGAGGAGGGGAGGGGGAAGGAGGCGTGGCGTGGGTTGGCGTGGGTTGGAGAAACGGATCGTGGCTGTTCCACAATACACACGCACACGCACATCCGCCGACACACCCTCCACGACCCTCTCTCCCCCCCGACTAACTTGCGGACCCTCCCCCCGACTAACTGGTCGCAGCAGAACCACCCCCGCTACGTCGCAAACCACGTCATGCAGAACGTACACCACAGCAGCAACATGTTTGTCGTACGTTTGTACTGTACGGCACAGTGCATGAATGCTACGTCACCACCATTTGGTGTGGCGGAAATGTGCTGCCGTCGCTCCCCGGCGCCCCGCTGTACGACAACCCACCTTGAAACCGCGCAGGTTGTTGATGATGCCCTGGACGCGGCAGGGAGTGAGAGCCAGCGGCCGTACAACGTCACCGCCGCGGCCGCCGTCACCGTCGCCATTATTCCCGCCGCTGGGTGGGCAACAGCGCTGTACGAATTCCAGATCGCTCCGAATCCTGGATGATGACCCCGAAGCCGTACAAGGTTATTTCCTCTAACGTGACGTGACCGGGGATGCGGACCGACCGACCGACCGACAGACAGACAGATAAAGCTGGGCAGACGAAGTAAAGGTTGGATATACGGACAGACAGACAGCTTCGTGACATTAGGAGGAATCGCCTGACGATCCGCTAAGCCGACACGGCAAACCGGAACGATAAGCAAAAGCCCTACAAACCAAATTGCAATTTATGGTCGTCATCATTGGCAATCAGTTTTGCAGGATGCAGGAAGGGTTTGGAATGTGATGGAAAGGGGGCCGTCGTACTGGCAGTTGTGCAACTCCCAACCAGAAACACAACCACTACACCAGAAGCTATGGTAAGGTAACCTAATAACTGTCGACATTTACCAACCACCAACAGAACAAACCAACCAAGAGGTGGGTGAAGGTGAAGGTACGGCTAAACACACCAACCCGACCCAACTCCCACCTTCGCGCCAGCTTCTCCAAATTGGCCACGTGGGGGTGCCGTACAGCCAGGGCGGTAGCCATCGACTGGGCCCTATGGAGCAGCGCCTGGGGCGGGGGGGAAACGTTTTGAAGGGGTGGTCCCAGGCGGACCGGATACGTGGCGTCTAGGTACGACATGTACGACATGACGAAAGTGATCTTTGCGAGCGATCCCAGGGGGAGATTGCGACAGAGGCGTGTGGCAGAGAGCTGGGGGGCCCCGGGAGAGCTAGATCTACAGGGGAGCACCAAGCACGGGACGGTAGGAAACCAACCAATCAACCAATCAACCAACCAACCAATCAACCAACCAAGAAGTTGTTACAGCTTTTCCTGAAGGTGCCGCAATTCCTGCAACAGCTTGGAAACGAGCCGGAGATCCCCCGTTTGGATGTGTATGTGTACGTCTGTCTGTCTTTCTGCCTGTCTGTCTGTCTGTATACATGTCTGTATATGTCCACACCCGATATTCCCCTCATTTCCCCCCCCATCTCACCCGCAGGTCTCCGGCGGAGGGTAGCTCCTCCTCCCCCATAAACCCCAGGTTGCCAGTGGCGGGGAGATCCAGTTTCAAATCCAAATCCAATGACAGCTGATCCAGAGAAGCCGCACCAGATGGGACAGCTGGAGGTTCGGAAGACGGAGGCGGCGCCGCCCGGGAATGCAGTAAGGCTGACGGCGGCGGCGGTGGCGGTGACGGTGACGCGACCGTGCCGTCAATGGTGGCAGCGGCAGCGGCGGCGGCGCCACTTTCTGCGGCAACAGTAGCGGCGGCGTTAGCACCAGCCCCTATTGTGGCGGGTTCTTGAGTCCCTTGTTGTGGCGGCAGCGGGGAAAGAGGTACGGCATCAGCGGAGGTGGCCGTCACGGCCCCGGTGGCCCCCAACGTTTCGACGCCGTCAAGCGCCAGCTTGGTTCCCGTTTCGGACATGCTGCCTGTCAAGGCTGTGGACTCCGTCACCTCCGCCTCCTCTGCTACTGCCGCTGCCATCGTGGCCGCCGCTAGCGGCACTGCAACAGCCAACACCACTGCTAACGGCCGATACGCTGCGTGGCCGTGGTGATGTCGTACCTGCCGTACAGCACGCGCTGGGCGGTGGTGCTGGTGCTGTTTTCGAGGGGCTGTCCCAGAAAGGGGCTCACGTGACGAGGACCAGTACGGCACTCCAGGAGGGGTTGCCCGGCGGAGGGCCACGGTTCCCGCTGGATTTGTGCGTCTGCGGGGATGTTGTACGGCCCGGGAGCTGGGGAGAGTTTTGCAGCCAAGATAACTCGGCGGGTTCGTGAGGGGCCGGAGGGGGTGGGGGAAGTAGGTGTGCTTGAGGCGGCGCCTGAGTACCTTGGGAGAAGGGAGCCCTGTGGTTGCAAGGAGTTATTGGCGATGCTACTGTTGCTGCCGATGTTGCTGGCTGGCGATGGTGGTGAAGAAAGGTGGTTTAGGAGGAGGAGGCGGAAGTGGCGGCGGTTGTGACACGGCCGCGGCACGGATGCACGCCGCCGCAGCGGTAGGAAGGAGGGTGTGGCTGTGGCAGCTTTTGCAGCAGCGGGGCAGCCGGGGTGGCCGTGGCGACCGCGGCGGGTGGGATGGAGGCGATGCAGGTGAAGCAGCGGCAAGGAAGCTGACTGCAGCTGGGCCGGCAATGGCGGCTGTGGTGCTGGTCCCCGCCCCAGCGGAACGACTATGTAAGGAGAGCTGGTTGCGAAATACCGCTGGGTATGAGAAAGAGCTGTTTAAAACCCTAGGACGAAATCAACCTAATGATGAAGACAGTCCGAGTACATTGATGGAAAAGTTCGCTGCTGCTGCTGGTCGTTTCTGCCCTGGTTCCGGAGCCTACTTTCCAATGGAGTCAGCAGTCCCGTCCGCGCGCCAATATAGCATGTCCACATCAATCTGAAGGAGAGCTCAGCCTAGCACGTATGGGCATAGCGCATATGCGCATTAGCCCGCTTGTTCACAGAAACTTCCGTTGACGCCATTATGGATCAATACGCGCGTCTAAGAGGACCGGCCAGTTTGCCTTCTTTGATGAGACACGAATTCTTTCTTTCCGTCCACCTTTCAGAATTCCACTCCGCCAACCGCATTACCGAACTTCGTCGTACTTAGTTTTGTGTATTGGGTAATGACCACGCAACTAGGTATCGTTATATGGCTCGTTAAATGCCCAAGTTCTATCGCGCGATTACCTTATTGTCGACAATGTTATCATCGCGCTCTTGACAGCAGTGAGCCTTGACAGAAACGTTGTATGCTCTCCGGCTGCAAGACATGGCGAGCATCAAAGCCTTTCTGATTTTCCTGGTCTTAACGATTGAACTTGGAGTCGTCGTGTGGTGCGTTCTGAAGGCCTTTTTGGCGCACATTTGATAAGATCGTTCCGTCTGTGATGCTCGCTCCCGCGCTGCGAGGAGCGCTAATTTTGTTTAACGGCGAAGTATTTACAGCTGCTGACACGTTAGCTGGAGACATTCCTATGCGCGGATATGTACATCCGCCATCCTCTACCCGAAATCCGACCCGATGTGTGGCTGCCAACGCTTCAAACCCATCTCCCACAAAACCCATTTTCACCTCACTAAAGCGGCCACTATTTCTACACATTCATTGTACCCTTACTATGACCCTCATCCCAGACTCCCATCGTTTCTAACCTCCATCGCAACCTCCAACCTCCGAAACCCCTCCCTTTCCCTGCCTCAACCCTTCTCCCCCAGTTGTGCTTTATGGCCGCTCCGAAACCATTTGACTGAGCTAGCTCGCGCCAGGGGCTGGTGGCAGCTGGGCAGCTTTGAACTGGGTAACCTGGTAAGACGGGAGATGGGGAGGGGGAGAGTCGGGGGTGTAGAGGGGACGATGCTGGTTGTGTGGTATCTGTTTGGTGGTCTCGTGGTGGTGGTGATGGTGGTGGTGGGAAGGTTTGGTGGGAAGTTTGTTTTTGAGGTAAATTTACAACCGTCTCAGCACTTCAGAGTTCCAGAGTTCCGGAAGTGGCGGGTCCTCCCTTCCGAAGCGGAGGAGGGATCACACAACATTTAGCTGAAGTTGCAAAGGGCGGAGGGGGTACCAGGAAGAGGCCCCACGGAGGGCTACGAGGCAGGTGCGCCGTGTCGGGGTGAATCGAGTGACGCGAGTCAAGGAAGCACCGATCTCGGAAGCGCTGATCTGAGCGCTGTACGTCTGTGTCTATATCTGTGCCTATATGTAAAATGTATCCCCTCAGGATGTGCTGGTGTTGGCGGTCGCTAAGGAGGTGGTGCTGGTGCTGCTGGTGGCTTCCACCCCGTCAAAACAGAACAGAGCTTTTCGCAGGAAGGCGGGAAGGGGGGCAGGGACGGCGAGGGGGGGTGAGGCTAAGGAGGGGCCGGCGCCGGACGCATCAAACCACAGCACGGTGAGACCGAGGGGGGGACCAGGGGGGCAGGGGGCAGCGGGGCCGCATGAGGAGGGGGGGTGCAGAAAGAGAGAGGGAAGGGGCGTCTGTTAGTGGTGTTTGTCTACAGGTATACAGACAGACAGACAGACGGAGGTTTTCGGGATCCAGGTTGGAATAGGCGGCTTGAAAATATCACGTTCCTGCTCGTACTTTCGTACGCAAAAACACTCTAACCTTTACTTTCGAGAGTTGCCGTTTCTTTCCCGCGGCCACCTCCCCGCCCGCTGGACCGTTCCATTCCCCACTCTTTCTTGCTGCCTTTCGTGAGTCTTCGGACCTTGTACGGCTATGTACGACAACAAGCACTGCCCCATATCCGTACGGACAGGTACGGAAAGCTATCTCAGTTCTGTGCGGCCTGCACGCCGCCTTCCTGTTGGTGAAGGCGGCGGCGGTGGCGGTGACGGCGCCGGAGCAGTTGTGGCCTGACGGGGAGGGGGGTGGTGTCGTACCGCCGCGACCCGACGGACGTACCAACGTGGGCCTTGTGTTTTTGTACGTCAGCATAGGTACGGCGACCGTACTGTGCCTGAGATCTGCGTAATCCTGGGTGTGTTATGTTTCTCGTCTTTATCAAAGGGGGGGGGAAAGAGGTCGTAGCTGTGTGCGAAGAAGGAAAGTGTGTTTGCCGTGAACACTCTGTCGTACGTCCCCTCACACAACATTTGTGTGTGTGTGAAATACACGCAGCTTGCTTGTGCCACCATAATTACATACATACGCACATACATATACGCATGTCGCATATCAGCTTAAAGCTGGTTATTGTATGTGCAAACCAGACATACATTCATACACATACACATACACACACACGTCCACACCTTGACAGCGATCGCCCCTTTTTGGAGCTCCATCTGGGGGGCCCCCGGGGGGGCGGCCCTCCCCCCTCTCGTATTTCCCCCCTTCCCTTTCTCATGCTCCGTTTCCTCGACCCCATGGGTGTTCTGTATGTATGTATGTTTACGACAGTGGTGAGTCTGCTGTCCAGCCTGGCGAGTCGGGGCTTGGCACGGGGGTTGGTTTCGGAGCGTGAGGACGCGTGGGAGACGGAGCAGGACCAGGCGGCGGGGCTGTCAGACGTGGAAAACACGACAAACACGGCTTCTGACTCTCTGCGAACCCCGCTACTGCCGCCAGCAACTGCGGCATCACGCGGCGGAGGGGGAGGAGGCGGCGGCGCGGAGGCAGGGGCGGGCGGGGAGACGGCCACGGAGGGTGTCGAGGTGGTGGAAGAGGCGGCAGCTGTCAAGGCGGCGTCTGCCAAGGTACACGACGTGCCTGTATGTATGTGTGTGTTTCCGTGGAGGGGAGAAGGAGGGCCCCTCCTTCCCTCTCTTTCCCGCTGTTTCCCCCCTTTCATCACTGTTCCCTCTGTCTGAATGCATTGATAGATCATTCCATTCTCCCGCCACTTCCCCCCCTGCCGTAGTCCCGCAGTCCCGGTCAGCAAACATTCCTGGAATGCGGTGTTTGCCTTCTCCTGGACTATTCGTCTATCTCTGGTATCTGCTTCAAGAGTCAGTGGTTCGCCTTACTCCCCTCCCGGCCCCCTCCTTCGTTTCCCCTCTCCCCCCTCCCCCCCCCCCGCAGCGCAAGCACCGCACAGTGCGGGAGCTGCTCCGTCTGGCCTTCGTCGACTTGCCGCTGCTGCTGGTGGCCTTCAGCTGCGGCTTCCTGGCGGCGCTGGGGGCCGCCTCCATCGCCTACCTCACCGGCCAGATGGTGGACTTCGCGTCGATTGAGCTGGACAGGTACACGGGCATGTGTGTATGTGTGTGTATGTATGTATGTATGTATCTCTGGTGTGTCAGATGGGGGAATGCGGTGGGGGGAATTGATGGGAAAGGTTCCGGTGCCGGGCTACGATGTACGACATACACACTCCCGTTCCATTTACACACACACACGCACCCTACCGTACCACCGCACGAACCTACCCATGCTTCAGGTCGCGCTTCACTCGTACCGCCATTCAGTTACTGTTGGTTGCTGGTCTAACCGCCTTATTTACCGGGTGCCGGGGAGGGCTGTTCACCGTTGCCTGCACCCGAATGAATGTACGACTGAGGAAGGCGCTGTTTCACGCGCTGCTGCAGGTGGGCTGAGGATGTGTGTGTGGGGGGGGGGGCCGGGGGTTCCATGGGTGGGTTTGATATGCGTATGTATGTATGTATGTATGTATGTATGTATGTATGTATGTATGTATGTATGTATGTATGTATGTATGTATGCCTTGCAAATAGTTTCCTCTGCCTATCCCCTCTTCGTATTGGTCTTCTGTTTTGCTCGTCATGCAATTGTAACCCCCCTTCTTCCCGTTCTCATTCTGGCGGTTGTGGCGGTTGTGGCGGTTATGTCGTTTGCAGATGGAGATT